AACATTTGTCTTACTGTACCGTATGCATCTTTAAATCATTAACACTGAATAAGAAAAGATATAAATTTAAGGATGCCTGTACCTATTATTCCTCAAGATACACTTCATTATATTGAAACTGAGGTGGCTCATAGGAAGATATTTCATAAAAAGGGATAAAACAAGGAAAAATAAGGGGTAGAAAGTATGAATAAAATAACAAAATTAAGGATAAGATTATATATGGAAATGCATGCCAGATTGTACGTAAATTTTCTTTTTCTGTTGTTTCAGGAAGTCTGCTGCCTGCTTGGTCTGCTTCTGGCTTAACCTCCACTGTTTTGTTTCTCTCTGCTGCTCTTTCAATATTTCTCATTTCCTCATCTTCATCCCTCACCCCTGGACAGTTCAATGTCCACATGCAGTCTTATTTGAGCTGTGCTTGCTAGAACTCTCATTTTCTGCTGTTTCCATGATCTTACTAACCATTATTTACACAACACTCATTTAAATGATTCAAATTAGACTACCAGTAAAAAAAAAAAATACCTTGCTTTTAAAATCTTATATATTGTATAATATGATAGTGTCTCTAGGTAAATTTTGATTGGGTGTAGACCTAAGTGTTTCTGAGTCTACTTTGTGTTTCTCAATGTTAAAGTTTTCTAGACAACTTTCTATTTTGGGTGTTTGGAGAAGTTATAGAGATTTGTGGTCTGTCACAAATAAGACCCATGTACATGTTTATCTTAGTAGAAGCATTTTTGTTTTCTAAAATTCTGTTAACTATTTGGTAGTATGTTGAAGTCCATGCTTATGTGAGGTGTTTGTTGCTCAGAACTTGCCTGCCTATGACAGCCCTGAGGTGTTTGGGCTGCACCCCAATGCTGACATCACCTACCAGAGCAAACTGGCCAAGGGTGTCCTGGACACCATCCTGGGCATCCAACCCAAGGACAGCTCTGGTGGAGGGGACGAGACACGGGAGGCTGTGGTGGCCCGTCTGGCTGAGGGTATGTGGGAGAAGCTGCCTGAGGACTACAGCCCATTTGAAGTGAGTCCATGAGATGCTGACAAAACATGGTTCTGAATGTACCTGGTTGTGGGAGGGTGAGGAAAAGGGAAATAGGGCAAAAATGATCTTTCAGAAGTGAAAAAATATTCAGAAGTAAGCTTCCTAATAAACCAAAAAAGAAAGACAGTAAAGAAACCTGGCAAGAATGTTGTTATTATAAAATGATGTTTGTGCTGCTGGGTTAGCGTTGTTTTATACAGCCTTTCCCTGAGGTAGTTAATATTGGCATCATTCAGATGTATCCAAAAGTGAAGCACCTGGTTTATCACATGTGCCTGTGTGCATGTGTGTGTGTGTGCTTGCGTGCGCGCACGTGAGTGCATGCTATCTTTTCCTTTCAACAGCATTTTGTGCTTTTAACATCCTATTTTTTTTGAATAAGCAGATTGTTTTGGCTACTAATACTAAGCCCAAGGACTGCTTGTCAAGGGAATAATTTCCCTGGCAGAATATCTGATCACATGCTTGGAGAAAATCAATAATTTTATCAGCCTTTATAAGCTCTCTTCATTATAGGGTTGGAAGGGAGGTCATTGACATCTACTAGACATTGAAATATTTATGAGGCAATTAACATATCTAAAAATAAAATAATTATGTAACAAAACATGATAACTAGGTTTAGAAGAGACTTTTATTTTGCTGAATTTGCTGGAATCAACTTAGGACAAAGTAGTTCAGCCTATCACAATATCTGCTGTACAGAAGATTCTCAATAAATGCTCAGAGAATGGGAATGAATAGATGACTATATTTATCAGAATATTTTTAGAATACATGTCTAATTATTTGAGATAGTCAGTGGAATGGTTGTGTGTATGCATGTCTGCCCGTGTACTCACACGTGTATTTGAAATAAATCACATTAGCAGGAAATGGTCATTTCCTAGTAAGTGAATTTCATCTCTTCTTCTGGCTACGTATTTTACTTTTTCTTTGAATTAGTGAGTCTCTAATCTTCCCTACATGCTCTAGGCGTTCAGGCTGAACATAGAGGTATTTGTTTTCTTATATCCTCTTTTTTATTTCTGCCTTTGAAAAACTAAAAGCTTATTATTTATGGAGTTATAAAAATTAGGGCTTATTCAGAAGCCTCAGAATACTGATTCTATAAAATCAAAGTAGCTATCTAATTCTTAATCTGTGCTCTGAATGTGTCCATGGCAGGTAAAAGAGAGGCTGCAGAAGATGGGGCTCTTCCAGCCCATGAATATTTTCCTCAGGCAGGAGATTGACAGGATGCAGAGGGTGCTTAGCCTCGTCCGCAGCACCCTGACGGAGCTGAAACTTGCTATTGATGGCACTATCATCATGAGTGAAAATCTGCGGGATGCACTGGATTGCATGTTTGATGCTAGAATTCCTGCTCGGTGGATAAAAGTATGTATAGTCCTGCTCTTTGTCAGATTGCTCATCATTGTGAACAGTGGAAAACATCTAAGAATCATTTAATTAAATTGGTCATTTTGGTTAGTGACTCATCCTCTTAGAAGGGTTCTTCCTCTGTATGGTATGTTCACATTGTCTTCTCTCAGTGTGTGTCTTCAAGTACAGAGTTCCTAATTCCTTTTTTTTGTTTTGTTTTGTTTTAATGACACTGGTCACATTGGCTTGGGGCCTATGTGTATGTAAAGGCCGTATTTCCAAATAAGGTCACATCCCTAGATATTGTGCGTTATACCTTGATATATTTGTCTTTTTTTTTTTTAACACAGTTCAAGCTATAATAGATGAAGAGAAAGATTGTGGAAGGTGTTTATAATGGGGGGGGAGGCATATAATGATGGAGATCAAAGAGGAGAGGAGATGGGAGAATATGTGGGATGGGGAGAGAGTGATGGAACAAGAGGCAGGTACCATATTTAGATAAAAACTGTCCTCAAATAAGTAGATTAGAAATGAAGGTTGTGGTTAGAGAACAGAATATGGAATTGGGATCTTGGGGATGGTGTATGTTGGATTGTTTTGAAGACTAAATATTTAGTTTTTCATTCACCTGGATTCAAATAGGAAATCAACAAGGAGTAGGGAGTTTCCTAAAACAGAACCTGGAATTAGACATGTCTATCTACCACCAGCACTGCTTACTAGCAGCAACTTCTCCTCAAAAGACTTTCCTGTGAAGACAAACCATGTAGCGACAGAACAAGAGCAACGTGTGTTTCCTTCAGACCTCTCAGTCCCAAAAGAAAGAAGAGCGATGGGCTTCTCACAGGAATCCTCATCTTTCTTGCACCTGCTGTGATGTCCCTAAACACTGTTGCTCCATGGATGACCCACTGACACATGTATTTTAGGAGCTGCTGTTATATTAGTTACCCACTTCTGTATGTTCTTCAAGAGCTGATTAGGTCCTTGACTTGACAAATTTACACTGGGAACAGTCTGGTGGAAGCCCTGCCATCTGATAGCAATCGAACTCTGAGATTACCATGGCAGAGGAAGAAAGATGGGCAAGAAGCACTAGGTCTAGACTTCTGGTCAGGAAGTGCTCCAGGACTCTTCCACTCATAGTGTTGGAGCCGTGGACCAGCCAAAATGCTTGGGAGCTCAAAAATCACAGAAAGCATGAACATGAAGTTCGATGACTTATCTCTGAAGCACCCTTCACCCAAATCAGTTTTCTTCACTTTCCTTTTGTGAACGAGATGGTAAATGTATCAGATGAGTTATGTAAATGCAGCTCCGTGGAAGGAGCTTCAGGAGCAAGGGAAGCATAGTTGTCCCAGCAGGACAGTTTTTTAAAATTTGTTTTTATTGAATTTTTGTGTATTTCACAGAACATCTCAATCTTAATCATCTTTATACCCCCATCCCCACTGACACCCTCCCATAGTTCCCCGTTGGAATTCATACATTCTGTCATTTGTGTTAAGGCCTATTGTGTCAAGTTAGTGTTCCCAGACATTCCTTAGTGCAAGTTCATCTACTGAGGTCTAGTTAGCTTATCTAGAGTCCCTTACTTTATGGAGATCAGCTCTTCCTCACCCAGCAGTAATCAGTTGCCAATATTTCTTCTGTTAAAATTGGGGTCTGTTGTCTATTTCTCCAGTTCTATGCTGGGTTTTTGTCTACTTGAAAGCATGGGACTTTTGTATGCTGACACCATTGCTTTAGATTCATCTGAGCAGGTTCCCAGGAGATCGTAGGACTCTGTTTCCATATGGTCCTACACCTCCTCTCTGGCTCTTGCAGTGTCTCCACCTCCTCTTCTCTAATTCTCCCTGAGCCCTGGGTGGATGAATATAGGAGTCCTGTCCAAGGACCAGCATTCTGCAGACTCTTAATGTCTACGCTTTGGCCATTTGTGACCTTTTGTGTTCTTGGCTCTCTGTTGCATGAGGGAGCTTCATTAGAGAATTGAGAGATTCATTAGTGGCCTCTTTATCCGTGTTCTATGTTCTATGAGCCTTAGGTGTAGAGGTTGCATTGTAAATGTATCATTTAGGCTTGGGAAATTTATAGACAATGTCTGTGTGACCAGTTGTGGTACTTGGTAGTAGTTTCCGTCTGATGTAAAAGAAGCTTCTTTGATAAGTCGTGACTGGGATATTTGTCTATAAATATGAGGATACATATTTTACACATAGTAAGAAATTACATTAGTCTAGGGATGTGATGGTCTTGGGATTTTCTCTATGACCTCTCTAGCCATGTGTTTTTGGTTATGTTTACAGTACCACACTTGAGTTTCCTCTCACTGAGTGGGCTTTTATTCCAATTAGGTAGCTGTTGATTGTCCCTCAAGACAAAAGTGCCACTATTGCACCAATGTTGTATGTTGTGCAGGCTGTTGATGTGGTTATTTGGTCTTGAAGCTGATGTTGGGCCATTGATTGATGTTTTCCTTTGGCATCTTCGTAGTGCTCTCCAGAGCTATGATAGCTGCCTTCAGGGGGCGTGGCTTCCAAGTCAGTTCCAGCTCCATTGCTCCAAATCCTATGTCCAAAGTATGTTCTGTCTTCAGCAGTAGGGTCTTACTTTCAAGTTCTATGAGGCCATCAAAGGCTGTTGAATATTTGGGGTTTTGAGTGGAAGTGTTAACCAGCATGGGTACCAAGGAGCAATCATTGGGTGACAAAAACAAGAAAGGGTAAGATGGTGTATCCAGGTGGCATAAGACTTCAAGGAAGAAAATGATGTGAAACAATAGCTAGTAACAGGCAGAAAGGACGAGGACATCTAACTCATCCTTGGTTCTGATGGCTGTGGAGTATGAGGAAGGAAGTAGGTTACAGTTTGAGATGCTTGTAACTGGGAAGGTAGGAGAGTTGGGGATTTTCTCAGATTGAGGATACAGGAAAACAGTATATAGCAATAATATTTGGGGAAAGGGGTGTCTGGAGACTTGGCTCTCTTTAGCTAAGTAGGACAGTATCTTGATAGGATTAGAACTGAGTGTTTTAGGAAAGACTTGTTTAGGGCTGAGGAGATGGATCAGTGAGTAAGAGTGCTTGCACACAAGCGCAAGGACCTGAATTCAGGTCCCTATCACCCGTGTAAAAACGTAAGCATAGATAAGCATGCCTACAACCCCAACACTGGAGAATGTAGACAGGCAGATCCTGGAAGCTTGCTAGTTTCCAGGTTGATCAGAGATCTTGTTCAAAGGCAAGAAGGTAGAGACTGAAGACCAATACAAGAAGAACTCTGATGTCCTGCTGTTGTCTGTTCACATGTGTGCATGGGCACAGGTGTACCTACCTTCACACTCACACCACACACATACACACATGTACACACCCAAGACTTGCTTAGTGCTAAGCCTCATACATTGCACCCAGAACTTCACCAGATTTCAAAGTCATGGGTCCTTGGATAATACTTGCTAACTAAGACTTCTTGTCTTTATTTCATGGAGAAGTCACTGTCCATCTCTCTAGTTTACAGAAACTCAGAATCACCTTTGACCAAAGCCCTTTGCTTCTTTTTTTTTTTTTTTTTTTTTTTAATCTTCTACAGACCTACTGTACAGGCCAGAGTATCTCCCCTTTGAATGTCCCATTCTCATTGCCAATGGAGGGAGAGCCTCCCAGGTCACTGGCCTTTGCAAATCCATTCTCCACAACTATCTCCCAAAACTATCTCTGTCAGGCCTGGGAGGCTCTGGAACAGAAGAGTCTTTGCAGGAGGTAGCCTCTCATTTAGGGTCCCCCCCACCCCCAGACCAAATGTAATTTTAGCACATTTTTTTACCCAACACATATATAAAGTGGGTTAGATAATTCTTCCCTAATTCTTAAATTGCCTAATTCTTACCTAGTTACCCAATTCTTAAATTATGATCATTTTATCCGGTTTTCACCATTGACTTACTATCAGTCTGTAGAATAGCAGTGGGTCTTGAAATATAAACAAATTAATTATAAAGCTATGTGAAATTCAAGTCATATATAGGCCCAAGTTGATTACTACATTTATTCATACTGAAATATTGCAATTACAGTGAAATGTTGTAACCTATGTTTTGAAGATATCTAGCAGGACAGTTGCTGTTAGAATTAATGATGCCCATTGTCATAAAGGAGATTACACAAGTGTATTCAGGGAGAAAGGTAGAGGCACCAACTGCAAATAATTTGTGGATGGTAAAAGGAACCGGGTTTCCCATTCCTTAATGGGACACACGCTTGAGAGAAGAAACATTGGTTTCCTTATTAAAATAAGTAGAGAAAGACTTCTATGATGTATTGTGCACAGAATACATTTTAAATTGTTGATTTATCTTGATGAAGCCATAAGCATATTTATGTAAATAGAAATTCTGTTTTATATAGTGTCTATTAAAATTGTAACCCAAACATGATGTTAAGTTTTATTCTGTAATTTGTTCCGATTCACCACTAGCAGCGCTAGTGGTGAGCATACTGGCCTGTGGAAGGTGGTTCTGTTGAGGTCAGACATATCAGCTCTGTGAATTTGCATGATGATTATCCTTTCTTCCAATCATCAATGTTAAAGATAAAGAACTGTTTGAAAATTTTACATGTCAGAGCCCAAGGGAGATTCATGACTTAAGACACAGTTTCATTGAAAATATGAAGTTGTTATATTACCTGCCCCATCCCCAGTGAGCATTGCCAGTTTACACAGCAGAATCAAACCTACATTAATGAATTGTTTTAATGTATGCATTTCAGGCATCCTGGGTTTCAAGTACCCTGGGTTTCTGGTTTACTGAGCTTCTAGAAAGAAACAGCCAGTTCACCTCCTGGGTTTTCAATGGCCGACCATATTGCTTTTGGATGACGGGCTTTTTCAACCCCCAAGGATTTTTAACTGCAATGCGACAGGTAATAACTCTGACTTGGGCTCCTTGTGTTACTGCAGTTTTCCCCTACAACATTTTCTTCTTTTATTATAGCTCAGAGAATATAATAAGATGGAGAATGACTATCTCTGTTTGGTGCTAGCAGTTACATTGTTGTGGATATAAATATAGGCACTTATTCCCACGTTGCTAGCTTGAATTTCAAGTATTTATTTGTTATTTCTATCTTGGTTTAGTTCATAGTTCTTTTTGTAAAGTACAAGATGCTAAATTAGGACATGGGTATTTTTTATGAGAGAATATTTTAAATTCTTTAAACACTGCTCCAGTTCCTTTGAATTAGGGTAATTTGGAGCTAAACTTACATAATTGTTTTGCTTAAACTTCTAATTGTTCCTTTTATTTTTTTGCTGGCTTGAATAGGAAATAACTCGGGCCAACAAAGGCTGGGCTCTGGACAATATGGTTCTTTGTAATGAAGTCACCAAATGGATGAAGGATGATGTTTCTGCCCCTCCCACAGAAGGGGTCTATGTCTATGGCTTGTATCTTGAAGGTGCTGGCTGGGATAAAAGGAACATGAAACTTGTTGAATCAAAACCCAAAGTGCTCTTCGAGTTGATGCCTGTCATAAGGATTTATGCAGAAAACAATGGTAAGCTGTCTTGTACATTCAGTGAGCGTTAGTATTATCTGACATTATAAACACAGGAATTTATTAATTTTCTATATGTAATAGGGATTTTACTATTTTATCAACTAGGTCTGTATTCATGTCCATGACTAATGAATACTTGCAGACCTTGAGGCCCTTTCTTGAGTGCTTCTGGGGAGGCAATAGTTAGTTCTTGCCTGTCTAGTAAAGCTTATAGCATACAAGGGTACCCATGAAGCTTTTCATAGATATATTTTCACTGGTGAGTTCAGGAAGAAATAGAGAGAAAAGACATAAGATAACTGTAGGGCCAAGAGGCCAGGGACTGGGTATCAGCAGCTGTTGGGCCTGGCTTGGGCATTGAAGAACAGCCATGAACAGGGAGGTGAGGCAAGGTGACAAGGCTTTCTAGGTTGGGGTGTGCAGGCCTCACCAGGAAGCACAGGCTCTACCATTTTGGGGGTTTGAGCCTGCTTGTAATGTCCAGACTGAATTTGGGAGTATTTGGTTTAATCCTGCAGCTGAAGTTGAAATGGTGGGTTACCATTTCATTCCTATGAAGCTCACGCTCTCCTTACTTTGGCAGAATTTTTAAAGCTCTGTTTCAAAATCTAAAAAAGGAGCCTAGCTATTTCCCATTATTGGTTTGACATTTCCAGAGGCTTTTGGTGAGTTCACTTAACCCTTCCCTCAGCCAACCACGGTCTTTCAGTGCTTGAGGAGCTGCATTCATTTTGGGAGCACAAGTCACAAACTCTAGGGAGAGCCATGACAGTGGGTGCCCAGGAAGAAGTGATTTAATGATACAAGCGCAAATGACTTTTCTGTTACGTAAGTAAAGAAAAAAATAATATCTCCTCAAAGGTTAATGGTATCCTTAGTCAGTAACACAATTGAATATGGGTCAGGGAAAAAGAATGGTAAACTGTAAGTTTCTCTTCCTTCCTTCCTCCCTTCCTTCCTTCCTTCCTTCCCTCCCTCTTTCTTTCTTTCTTTCTTTCTTTCTTTCTTTCTTTTTTTCTTTCTCTTTCTTTCTTTCTCTTTCTTTCTTTCTTTCCTCCCTCCTTCCCTCTCTCTCTTTCCTCCCTCCCTCCCTTCCTCTCTCTCTTTCTCTCTCTCTCTCTCTCTCTCTTTTTCTTTCTTTGTTTCTTTCGTGTTTTGAGGCAGTCTCCTGTAGCCCAGGCTGGCCTCAAACTCACTGTGTAGCTGAGGCTTGCTTTGCATTCCTGATCTTCTTGCCACCATCTCTCTCACTTTCTGTACTGGGGATTAAACTTTGGTCCATGCTAAGTACTCTATAACTGAGCTATATCCTTAGTTCTCTTTTTACTTCATTTTGCAACAACAGTGTGTGTCTTTCTGAGTTGCCCAGGCCAGACTTGAGCTTGGAATCCTCTTGTTTTAGGCCCCCCAAGTAGCTAGAATTATAGGTCTATGACACTAGACCTGGGATAAATACTTAATGTTTTAAGCAAACATTTGATGATAGCTTAATATACATTTGCTACAGCCTTAAGTGCTAAGATGCAGACAGTTATGCACCAGACACTGTCCATAAGGACTCACCGTCCAGTGAGCAAGACCAATGAGAAAATAAATGACTAATATAATTATAAAAACATTATGATAGGGACATGGTCAAAGTGATGAGGGAACTAGAAGGGAAGCATAACTGTGCCCAGCAGGTGAGGTGAGATTAACTTGAGATGTGGACAGGAGTGAGTATGACTGGGAGCTGGAGGCAGGTTTTTCTTGGCAGAAGGGAATAACATTAGCTCACTTCGTCATTCACTGACTGTTGTTCTGATTGTTTCCATCTACTAAACACCACTCAGAGGTGCAACAGTGAACAAAGACCAGACAGAATCTCCATTCTTGTGATACTCGGTCTCAGAGCTCTGGGAAGATAGCCATATGTGAAGCAAATGTAGCCAGATCTTGTACTTGCAGATTGAGTATTTGTAAATTCATCTGTATGCTAAAGTTTATTTGTAATACTGATGTCAGTTCTTGGTGTCGTTCCTAGCCATGTGCAGAGAAGCAAAAAGTTTGAGCTGCCTATAAATGCCTTGGTTTCCAGGTGAGGCTGAGCAAAGAGACACTCTGCCTTGGTTTCCGGCATTAGACGATAAGGAAGTGCCCTTTTCATGGTTTATTTACTGTCATGTTTTTGCATGTATTTTTAATTTTTCTGTTTAAGACGTGCCCCCCACCCCCCAGAAAGGCTATAATATGCCTTACAGAGAAAATATGTATGTTGCGCAGACTTCCTTCAGATACAAGCCACAGCACTAGTGGTCTTGAGTTTAATGTTAATGAATCATCAGTGTACATTAAAATGATATTAATAGACAGAAACAACATATAAGGTTGTATGCTGATTGGCTGATGACAGAGGTATGCTCTGAGGTTTGCAGAAAGCTAACTGGTATCTCTCAAGGGAGAGACACTTCAGCATTTGTTAATTTGTATTGATGGAACTGTGTATGATAAGTACTGTGAAGTGACTGTAAGTGAGCACACCGATTCCAGATAGTTCTTGTTTATCTTAAGAAAGGACAAACTGATATGTGAGTGTGAGACAATTTAAGGGTTCTGTGAGAAGAGAACATTGCATTGAATCTCAGTGACAGTACAGGGCCTGCTAACATCCAGCAGTGCAGGGCAGTGTGCAGAGGCATGGGGTGGCAGTGGATGTGTCCTGTGTGAGGAGCAAAAAGATGGTGGGTGCATGCAGCTGGGGGGGTGATGAAGGGCAGAGTGAAGTAGAAGCCAGCAGGTATGTGTGAGAGCTCACAATGCAAGGACATGATGAACAAAGTCTTCTGTGTGCTGTAGGTGACTGGCATGGGTCCAGAATGACAAGGGGGAATGTCCAGATGGGAGGGTGTGGTTGACTGCCGGATTCTGAATTTGTTGTGTGTCACGACCATATTTTCCTCAACGAAGATAATTTCTCCCAGGAGATAAATAAGATGGGGAATTGAAGGTTCGGAGAGGGAGGGAGCTCAGGAAGATGTAACAGAGCAACTTTGCAGGTGATGAAGGGTTGAGACAGCAGAGCGAGTTGTGGGGTTGTGCTTAGTCCACAGTGAGGTGGAAATATGTGGAGCTAGGACACAAAGAAGACCTGTATCCTGTGAATGAGGGAGGAAGAGAATTGGGAGTGGCTTCAAGGTTTTTGGCTTTCCACCTATATCAATGGCAAATGCATTGTGAATGTGTGGCAGAGACCCTCCCACAAAAGGGATAAGTCCAGACAGGCAGAGAGATCATATCACAGACTGGGAATAGCTGTGCCTATCACAGAATGTGTGCCTGACATACATGTTCCAAGACAGGCATCCAGCTGTGGTCTCTCAGTCAGGTCGGCCTAAATAGTTCTGCCAGGAATGAGATGAAGCCTGGTTCTTTCTGTACCATCATCCCTCTGCATTTCAATATGCCTCACCATTCTTGAAGAATGCAATTTGTCAATGATACATTTCTGATTTCAAAAGACTTCGGTAGATATAAGAAATATAATTTGCCATGGTTTTGCTCATTCTTGAACCAAAATCAAGGCCAGCAGGACCATATCACATCCTCTTGCAGAGGCCTAGATGGGAAGGGAGAGCACTACCTGTAGACCTTGAAGAGCATCATGCATTTTTATGTCCCAAAAGCCCATTTCTTCACTGTTCACCCTTAGACTCTGGCTTAATACCCAATTAGTTAGGGAGTTTGGAGTGATTTTGGAGGCATCAGTGCAAATTAATTTGTCTGACTAGAGACACTGGGACAGGGAGGGGAATGCCTTTCTAAGAGAGACAGAGTCTGCACTTGGCTTTGAAAAACATGGCATATAGGAGAATCTGAAATATTCAGGATGGTTGTTTGTTAGACTCATAATAACTATAAGGCCAATGAGAAAATTAATTTAAAGAAGAAAACCTAACTTTCCATTGTATGTGTGCTATGTGCCAAGCATTCTCCCAGACCTTTATAGAGACAGTCCATTTTTTTCCTTTATAATTACTTTGAAAGGTCATTATTTTTACCCACACTTTATCCTTACATTAGCAAGAAAGTGCTAATTCTCAAGGGAGGTAACTGCTTCATAAGTAGAAGAGTTGAGATGTCAGCTTAGAGTTGTTTGACTCCAAAATTGGGCTCCTTTTGTTATAGTGGTTTCTTCTCAGAGTTTAGATAGAAGATTTAGAAAAGCTTCATTCTAAAACATTTTTATATCAGCAGTCTGTTAGATGCACTACTACAAACTTCCATGTGAAAGAGGTTATTCAAACAGAAGATGGAGGAGGGATTGGAAGGGAGAACTTGCATTTATTGAGAGCATTTTATAGGTGGATTCTATGCCAGATATTGTGCCATTTGTATAACAATTTTTCTAGAGATTTCAGCTTAGAGAGATTCTGTCCAAGGGGCCGAGGATTGCCTTGGGAGAGTGCTAGCGCTGAGTGGATGAAAAAGAGGCTCCTGTAAGGGGAGTGCTGAGGCCTAGGTGAGGGAGGTGAAGACCCGCGGCACAGTGCTTGGCTCATGGGTCAGTATTTTTTGGCTGAATCAGAAAGGGTAAATGTGGCTACATGAGTTTAGAGGTTTCAGAGTTGAGGCTTCATGACTGACGGTTCATAGGCTGGTGTGCAGTCTTGGGGCAGGAATTCTATCATAGAAATATCAGTGAAATGTTCTCTTAGCTGAAAACAGTAGTTTTGAAATCATGCCATTGTATCTAGTCAACATGTTGTGAAAATGTTTTCCTCAGAAAACAAAAGAAACCCCTTTCTCACATTGAGCTGGGTGTTGCTTTCTTTTCCTCACGACTAAACTCTAAAAGTCCATGGCAATTTGACATTGAGCATCTCAGCATGAACATAACGCACTAATAATTTCATAATACAGGAAATTCTTTGTTATTTAAGAACATTTTTTTTTTGCTTACCATGCAACAAAACCTTTATTAACATTTTTAACAGAGGTTCAGCTATTACTGAAACTTT